TGCCGCACAAACGCGGCTCCCTTGCCAAGCACACATGAGGGTCGCGGTCAGGCCAGCCTGGGTCTGCAGCGTGCACGTCCTCCCTGGCTTTCAGGTGCGAACTGCGCCTGGAAATCCTCCCAGAACGTGGGCTTGCAGACTTACGGGAAGCCCTCCCAGTGCAGCATCCTCCCAGACTGTTCTCTTGCTCCTCTCTATTTTTTGGTTTTCTTGCCAATATATAACTCAAGAACAAGTAGGACATTTGTTGACTTGCTGTTGGTGGATATTTCCGGACATTTCCAGATACTCAACAGTTTTTACAGGAACTGTTCTTCCCTAGAGTCCTATGTCATCAGTCTGTGTATTATTAACTAAGTCACATAATTGTCATCGCAAGTGCAGCTGGCAGCCAACAGATCCAGAAGCAAACGCATCTGACCGGCACTTGGTGACGCCCAGCTCAGCTGCTCACGACAGAAGGGGACAGGTCTCCAGGAGGGCTGCTACACGGCCCACATGGCCGTACACGTTTTCCTGGTGAGGGGTGAACGCGGCAGAACTTGGCCCTGATTTAGTCCGATGGTAAGTCGAGCAAGAGCGAGCAGAGTGGAGGAATTGAGGACTGCTGGACCTTACCCGATGAGAGGGAGACCTGTTCTCCAAAGCAAGCCGAAAGTGAGCTAGTTGCAGAATTATTCCCATAATGCAAGCTTTCCGTTTCCAACATGGCAGGAATATAGAACAGCCCAAAAGATCCACCCTCGCGCATTCTAATTAATCTAGCCCCAGTGGTCCACAGCAGGGGCAGGTGCTTTTTCCAGGGTCTCCTGTCCCTGGACCTGCTAGACGTTACTTCTTGAATTTGCCTCCTGAGTAGGCCCTCTGTAGAAGGGAGCCCATGAGACTCATGGCAGTTTCTGGAGGGATCTGATGTAGCATGATTGTCTAGCCCCTACAGATGTTAAAAACCAGATGTATAAAATGATTCTTAAAAACAACTTTGCTCTAGCCCGTCCCAATCTCAGACCCATGCCAGCTGAAGCAACGCAGTGTGTAATATCAACTACTTTCCCTGAAGAGATTCAGAAAATTGTCCTAGTGGGATCCTTGTAAGAAATTTGTGGAATGTTGCTTCTGCCTCATTACCCAATATGGCGGAAGAAAGAGACCCAGCGAGAGCCTGAAGAAGGCACGACCACCAGGGGGCAGCATTCTCTTGCCCGGGGAGCCACCGTGACTGTCAGGCTTCCAAGGAGAATGACTTTGGAAAGTCGGGACAGAATTATGTCGCATTCCTAGACTAGGGCAGCAAGCGTTCCTCTATTTATTATGCACTCTGCCAGACGAAAGGCCATGCTGGCACAGGACAGAATGTTCCAGCACAGGATGTCAGTGTTAGAACACTGGTTATAAAAGGAAGGGAGTGTCTTCTGGCTGGGCAGCCTAGCTCTCAGCTGCAACACTAGACAAAGGGCCACCGTGGAAGCTGTCTAATTTAGTCTGAGGTTGCACATCTCTGCCTTTTATTGCCAAGAATCAGTCTAAGGATCTTTTTTTGAGAGCTAATCGGGACAGTCCAAGGTAGGCTGAGGCAAGGCAAGCCAGCCAAGGACGGGGGAGATCTGGTCTGCCCTGCAGGGTCCCCTGCCTATGGGCACCGGCTGCTGCAACCTTGTACATGCCCAGCAGGGCCTGCGGGGCAGGTGGCCGAGGCTGTGTCCTACAAGGCCTTTTATAGGCACGTTTCCCTGGCTTACTCTCTCCAAGCAGCTACAGCAGGAGCATTTCTGCTGGGATTTCCCTCTTCCCCACTGTCCTTTCTGTCCCCTACACCCTGTGGCTCGGACATGGTTTACAAACACTGAGCCAACAACTTGTCATAACCCCAAGGTCAGCACCTGCGGCTCTGGGGCCTCCTGCAGCTGCCAGGCTTGGAACAGACACATGTCCGGGAGCAGTGGCCTGTATTCTAGGTGGAGCCAGGGCTTCGTGCCAGGAAGGCCCTTTAGGGGACCAACTCGTCCTGGTTTGCCGGGAACTTTCCTGGCTTGACCACGGACAGGGACACACCCAAGAAGCCCTCAGTCCCCCGCAAAAAGAAATAAGCGCCTGCCCTGCCTCCACACACACCTCTAACCCGGCCTGAATAGCTGCGCCTGTCCTGAACTGATTCTGTATCTTAAGGACACAGCAGCTTAATGCAGCTGATGGCATTTTTCTGTTTATATCAGCTGATAGAGACTGCAGAGCCCAATCTGTACCTTTCTCTAAGAAACAGAGGGATTATTAGATATATCTCATGCAGCGATTGTGAATGTTTAGAGAGAAGGGCCCAAACTGCAACCACAAATCCACTTATTTATTGTAAAGTGCCAACACTGCAATTAAACCTGAATACCGAAGTCTTAGTTTAGAAAAAACAACTCACACATTAACGTGTTTTGTCTTAAGAGAAAAGCACAATGAGTCACGTGCCTTGTGTTCACCACCACTGGTTAGCGAGTTCATCTTTCCGCTGGCCAACGCTTCTATCCTTAGTTATTCCTGCACTTTTTCTGGGTTTACTTATATACCTTGGTAAGCATTTAAATCCTCTTGGGAAGACTCCCACTTGCTGTGCCCCTTCTCGGACCCTTTTCTTAGGCAAGGGTGCACATTTGTGATAAACAGACCTGATCTGGCCCTAGGAAAAGAATTATTCATCTCAAGCATTCACTGCTATATACAGAGGTATTTTCAAAAGTGCTTTAAAAATTTGTACGCCTGTGCCTAAACCTCACTCCCCTCCTGAACCCCTAACAACTGGCTCTGTCGCAGGGTGGAGACGCACATCAGCCCTGCTGCAGGCCCAAGCCTTTGCTGTTGGGATTTCTGTGTACTCGTGTTTGCTTTCCGTGCAGAGGAGATTCTAAGCACAGACTCAGAACTGACGTGGTGTGGGCTGGGCCAGAGTTGACCATGCCAGGCAGTGCTCTTGGGCTGGCTTTGGTGGGGTGTGAGGAGAAGAATTCTACGTCCAGGCTGGAGTAGGATTGGAGACCCGGCCCGCAGTTCTGGGGATCTGCTTATAGTTCTTCGCCTTTGGCTGTTTCCATTAGCAGTCTGAGAAGTCCTTGTAGGTAATGAACTTCTTCTGGCACTCGAAGAAAGAATCCAGGCGTTACAGGGTAAAAGAATTTAGTAGGACTCGGCCAGGGGATCAAATCCTGGGTCTACTGAATCTTGGGGAAAAATCATAGAAAATGTATTCGTTTGCTCACCACACCCCACACTTCCTTTGTCTTTCCAGACGCTCACTTCCTGCCTCAGAACAAATTCAAATGGCAAATTCAGCTTCAGGTCCGAAAACAATGTGGACCATAGCCACAGAGTGCTTTTATCTCAATTGCCCAAACGTCCAAGGGAGAACCAAGGCTTATTTCATTGATTTCTCTCCGTACCAGGCAGATTGTGATTCACCGGGAAGATGTTCCCTGTGGTTTTTAGAATACTTTCAAGCCACGGCCCTGCTGAAGACGCCACTGGTTCTGAAGACAAATTCCTAAATGATTCTTGACAGGCCTTGTCGCTGGGCTGCATTTTGGGCAGAGCAAAGAATAGCCAATTTCACCAAAATCTGCCCCAGGCCTTGATTCTCATTACAGACTGCAGCACTGAGCTTTTGCCTCGCTCAGGAGAGTGCCAACCCACCCATGAAACTTTGTGGTTTTTGCAGGAAAACTCAGCAGAGTCCTCAAGTTCTTGACCAGTTTAGGATAAACACAGCACAGGTGACTCGTTCTGTGTGAGCTTGTTTTATTTTCTTGCAGGAGTGGAGATTGAGCCCAGGGCCTTTCCATGGCAGGGCAAGTGTTTTACCACTTCAGTATCACACCGCCCCGAAGGCTCCCCAAGCCTTTGCACAGAACATTTGAGCCAAACCGATGTCCTTTGGTGTGGGGCCGTCTGGGGGTCAGGGTCTCGCCTGCGACCCATGCTACCATTGCCTGGCTGGGTGACAACGACTCTATCAAAACAGACTGCATCTTTCCCACCTGAGGCCTGTGGGCTCTGTGCACTTCCCGGGAAAGCATACAGCGCCCAAGAGGTGGTGGTCTCAGGCCTGCAAGAGAAGCAAAGCTTCCTGCAAGTGGTGGTGGCAGGAGTTATCCCCCTTGGCCAGAGGCTTTGCAGGTGTAAAGAATAAGCAGTGGATTTGTTGGGGTAGGAAGCGTTGCCACCCTACACTTTCTTAGGAGACAGAGTGGAAGGAGAGGGAGATTTAAATGTGTTTCTGTGGAAAAGCACTCAGCCTTTTCTTGCAGAGTGGGAGCAGTAATGAGGGGAGGTTGGAGCAGAGGCAAGAGGAAGAACATTGTGTGAATGGAAAGGAGTCATTGTCAGCCTGGAAAAGGCTTAGACAGCGTCACAGCAGCTGGGAACACCGAAAGCACTTTGTCAGGTTGATATCTATTAAAGGTGCTGCTTCACTATCTCTTGTCTGATTCCTCGCCCAGCTGTGCGGCTGGGGCAGAGTCCGCCCCCAGGGCTGCAGGGCGGAGGATTGTGCTGTGTTCTGGAGCAGGGGCTCCATCCTTGCAGGCTTTGTGTCCTGGGCCTTCCTGGCTGCAGCCTTTACCCTGCCTAGACTCAGCCACCGTCCAGGCTATGTCCACTCGAGAAGGGAAACCTAAACCTGTGCCAGAAGGGACAGTCTGTCAAACGGGAGGTGAATGAATGACTAACCAAGCAAAACATAAACAAAAGGTTGAGATCCCCAAATGCTAAGATTAGTATTTGTGGGATTTCCCAATCCCCGAAGTTTCCATGCTGTTGAAATCTCAGAAGCCAGGCCTTCCCACCACAGCCCTCTGTTCAGGCAGGCAGTGAGCTAGGACTCCACACTACCATGCAAATGCTCCAGGCAGATCAGAGTACAGTGGACCCTCGTGTTATGACCAGCCTGACATATAAACAACTGGGGTTATGACCAGAATTTTAGTTTTAACTCATAACCAAAGTCTTGAGTTATGACCCAAATGTGGGTTTTTCCTTTGTGATGTTAATTGAGAAATCCTGGGCCACTGTCTCTCTAAAGGCCCTGAGATCTCCCTGGAAGAAAGGATGACACTGTCACTGTAGCAGCATCCATATGTTCGCAGGTAGACACTGGTGGTGTTGAGGAACTGTCTGCAGGGGAACTTTAGCAGCTTCTGGCTGAGCAACAGAGAATGGCAGCGGAGGAGCTTTCTGAAGAGGAGGGAGTATCAACAGTCAGTGCGGCAAAGTTCTGAAATAAAAAACAGACAGAGCTACAAACATATGTAGAGAAGACCCACCCAGACAGAGAAAAGCCCAATCGCTGCATTCACTTGCTTAATGACAATGCCAAGTCCTACTACAGAACAGTGTTAAAGGAGGACAGAAACAGACAACCTTAGACCGGTTTTTAGTTCTGAAAAGCTGGAGACCTGGTGAGCCAGAAGCAGGTCCTAGTGGGCTACAGACTCTCCCAAGGAGAGAAAGGACCCCAGAGAGCCAGGTTCCTGATGTGCCTATGAAAGGGATGCTCCTTCCAAACAAACAGCCTCCTTTTCATCCTCCCTTCCTGCAAACCAAAGATGTCAACTTAATGGTGAGCACAGTGTGAATTGTTTCTGGTACAGTAGGTGCATTTTATACCTTTTTAGTGAGGGGTGCTTTGGGAGGTTTGGAACACATCACTATGGCTATTTCCATTATTTCTTTTGGGAAAAATAATCTTGACTTACAACCCACTGGAGTTACAACCAGGCTTCGTGACTAAATCGAGGGTCCACCCTGAGACCGGCACGGTGTCACATACCCACAGCAGATGCAGGAGAGTCTGGGACAGCAGTGTGGCAGGTCTGTGGAGACTAACACAGGGTCACCACCGTGGGCCCCCAGGAAGGCAGCCTGAGCCCCGGGGTGGGCACCCTCACTTGGGGATCTGTGCCTGTCCTGCTCCCCACTCCCAGAAGCCCAGGGGAAGAGGTGCTGGCTAAGGCTGAAAACCAGAGTTTTCAGAGTTGCCAGATCTTTCTTCGTTGAGTGCTGTTCGCATTGTTTAAGACATGGGTTTCCAGCCCCGTCTGACACGATACTCCACGGTCCTTTGGCACTGCTTATCCCTCGGGTGGTAAACTGACCGTTCTGTTCACATTCATCAGGATCACAAGACGCACTGCGGAAGAGGAGGCCAAGGCCTCGGAGACTCTGCAATTCTGGGGTTGGTTCTTCAGTACCTCCAATCTGATAATCCGCACCTGTCTTCCATTGTTTCACTAACCTGCACCCTAAAACAGTTTTTAAAATCTCTCCTCCCTTGTACGTTTTGACTATTTAGCTCATTTTCTTCAAAAATTTAAAATAATTACAAAAGATGGAACTTTCTACAGAATGTCAATATTGACATTTTAAAATTAGATGGTTCCACTACTCTTTCAAAAATATATCTACTAGAACATAAATATAGAAGCGTTTGAGACAAACTGTCATCTGTGTAAAAATACATAAATATTCTTTTATTAGCTTTGGAAATTTGATATCTTTATATTATATTTCCATTCTTTTTCCACACTCCCATTCCTTGCCACTGTGCCATGTAAGTGATGACTCTCTAAGTGCTAAGGTCCCAAGGGCTCTGCGGTTGTGTGAGAAGTGAGCCCAGCCTCTGCTATCTGTCCAGCTCTGCTGCCCTCCCTCCCCCGGTTGACACAGCACGAGGGGCCTCGCAGCTGTGGGCCCCTCCATCTCAGACTTCCCAGCCTCCAGAACTGCTAAGAAATAAACCTGTGTTCTTCGTAAGGTAGCTGGTCTCAGGCATTTGTTTATAGCTGCACAAAACAGACAACTGCATAAACATTCGTGGTGGTGCAGGCCTGTAATCCCAGTACTCTGGGAGGCTGAGGCAGAAGGATTGCAAGTTCAAGCCCCTTGCTGGGCAACTTAGTGATATGACAGGATCCTGACTTAAAGCAAAAAAGGCTTAGGGTGATACTGGATTCAACCCTCAGTAGAGAGAGAGAGAGAGAGAGAGAGAGAGAGAGAGAGAGGAAAAAGGAAGGGAGGAGGAAGGGAGAAAGGGAGAAAGGATGAAAAGAAGGAAAGGGAAGGGGAGAAGGCTTTGCTGCCTGTAGGTTGGCGTCTGCCCCTTGGTTTGTACCTCTAGCATCAGGCCTCTCACTCCCTCGTCGCTTTGGCCCAACCGGACTCCGTCACTGGCAGGGAAGTCAGTGCTGGGATCCGTGCTGAGGTCACCCAGGCCTTCAGCGACGCCAGGGCAGGGCACGCCCAGCGGTCGCAGTCTTGTCCCCAGCGGCATAATCGGCCTGAGCAGTGAGCTCAAAGGAGTGGCCAACTTGGCCTCGGCCCGTCCTTGCATGCACGCTCGGGTGTGGGGATGTGGGCCTGAGAGAAAGGGAAGAGCGATGGCCACCCTGGACCCACACAGAAAATTTGTCAACATTTATAAAGCACTGACTATGTGCAGAGCCTCCACTGGTCACCGCGGGAGGAAAGAGATAAAGGAGACCCTAGCTGCCCATCGGAACACGCATGCCAGGAGTGCATCTTGGGGCCGCAGAGCCGTCTCCCTCCCTCCCCCAGAGCTCCAAGGCTCCCGGAGCCTGCATCCCCGCCCAACACTGGGGGGCCCCCAGCACCCGGCTCAGGGCTCCCCACGCTGCCCTGCTGCCTCTGCGCAGCTCCGCTCTCACTAGCGCCACCCACAGGCTACTTTTCTCAGGAGCCTGGGCCCGCTCCTTCCTGTCATACTTTAGCCTCCTGAGGATAGAAGGGGCTCCGAATTTTAGGACTCAGGTAAGAGCTGTGTGTACTGCACATGGACCCTTAGGCACATTTCTTACTTCTCCAAGTCTAGGTGATAGGCAATGAGCACGTCCTGTCACTTTCTTGTTAATGAGACAAAATAGTGACACCTACAACTCTCAGGAAGAAAGGTTATTTTAGCACAGTTTGTAGAGGTTTCAATCCATGTGTCCTGGCTCCGAGGCAAGAAGACCTCCTCCAAGGCAGAGGAGAAATAGCTCATGGCGTGGTGGCAGAGAGAGATCAAGGCAGGAGGAGGGAGACAGACCCTTCCAGGCCACGCTCCCAGTGACTCATGTCCTCCACCTGAAGCAGGACTCAAAGAAGAACAAGTTCTTCCCGGCCTTGGCCAGTTCCCCCTCCTCGGATCCCCTCACCGCCTTGTAACCCCTTGTTCTGGTACAGATAAAACTGACAACAATGCCCCAAACCAAGTTCATGACACCCTTCTCATATGATGCCCAAGCCGCTGCCTTCTTTCAAAACAAAGTTAGTCCAACCTTGTCCTGTTCTGGTAAACTCACTTGCTCCCTCACGAGAAAAATCACTCTGTTCAACGAAATGCATAAAAGCTGAGACTTCCGTCTGCTCATCGCCTAGCCAATTTGGACACAGTCCACTGAGCCGGCATGTGCACCTCAAATAAACCCTCCCTTGTGGTCTCTCTGAGTCTTGGAAGTCTGCAGCACAACCAGGCTTCACCCCAACATCACATTCAACTATGAACTCAACAGTGGACAGATCCACAGAGGGAATCACACACCCATGACCCAGTCGACTCCCAAGAGCCCCTCCCATGATCACACAAGGCTTCAGGGGACGTCTAGATATAAATCATGACACCCCCAAAAGCCACACATTGAAATCCACCCCCCGATGCAGTGGTGTTTGGAGGTGAGGCTTTTGTAGATGACTAGTTTGTAGTAGTGCAGCCCTCATGGGTGTGATCCATATCCCTATTAAAAGGGCACCGAGGACTCACCTGCCCCTCCTGCCAGGTGAGGGGACAGCAAGGAGGGGTCATCTATGAACCAGAAAGAGGACCCTTAGCGGAGCCCAGCCATGCTGATATCCTGGACTCAGCCTTGCAGCTTCCAGAATTGTGAGAAATTAATTTCTGGTTTTATTAAGCCGACCTATGTATGGTATTTGGTCATAGCAACTTGAGAAGTCAAAAACACTTGTCCCTCGGTTTGTGAAGCCAGATCTGCACCCATCAGCTTGCTGGGAGGGTTAGACTGGAAAGACAAACATACCATGTCTGCCACACCCAGTGCCCCAGAAGCAGTGGTCCCCTTCCCTCTCCTGGGCCTCGAAACGCCCCGAGCAGGGAAGGCAGCTCTGCTCCTCACGCAGAGGTTATGTGATAGGGGAAGGGTGCCTTACCTGGTAATGCCTGAAGGGGCAGTCGTCATTTTAATGGCTGGATTCCAGTCTTGGTCTTGCAGTGGCAGGGTGATTTATGCTGCACCGTCCTTCCTCCTGCAGCCAGAGCAGATGTCATTATGTCGTCAATCATGCATGGACATGCGGCTGTGTGCTGGAGCCCCGGCAGCTGAGCGAGGCGTGCAAGCGGAGGCCGGCTCCTCGCGCTACAGCACACAGGGCCCTGTCCCGCCCCGCACTCGAGAGGCGGTGAAGCCAGGTGTGTGGAGCTTGGTTTACCTGGAGAAGAAAGGGCATCTGGCCTCTCCGTTTTGGCACAGCAGGGAGACAGGCTGGGCTCTGGACAGTCAGACACGGAGCCTGCAGCAGTTCCTCGGCCGGCCCGCCTGGGAGCTGGAGAGGAAGAGTGGAATCCCCTTCTGGCTCCCACGGCACTGGTCACATGGAACTATGTTGGCCCCAAAGCGAGATCGGCCCTTTCTGGAAACTGTCAGTAAACCAGAACATTCCTTCAGTTCGGGACAAGAGCACTGCTGCCACTCCCTGGAAGCTGTGACTCAGATGGAGCCCACGTGTGCCCACCCCTGAGCTCAGGGCGCACTTTTCACCAGGTGGGACTGGCCTTGACACCAGGTTCAGGGTCAGCCAGGTCAGCTTGTTCTTGTGAGAGATAAAGACCTTTGAATGCACTCACTCAGCTTGTTAGTAGTGGAGGTGGTCTCCAAATGGGTATTTCAGGGAATATTCTGGGACACATGTTCGCCTTGTGCTAAAATATTCCAGGCTGTGTCTGGTGTGACATATGCTGGAAGTGCCGACAGACTTGCCGGGCCTCAGCAGGCACCCTGGGACTGAATTCCTAGTGTGGATTTCACGAGTTGTGCCTTCCTTCCACGCTAAGCACAGATTAGATGAGGAAATGAGACATATGTGAAAATTTAATTACAGTGGATCCAGCAATGGCCCAGATGCCACAGATGCAAAGAACAACAGACTGATGGCTCCAGCCGGATGCAGGCAATGGGTCCTTCGGGAATTTAGAGGAGAGAAGGGCTTTGGAGTGCAGACTCAATGGGGCTTCTGGGGTTCAAGTGCAGTTCATGGAGCCAAGCCGGGCTCCTGGCTAAGCCTGGAAAACCAGGTCTGTGGAGAGACAGGTCAGCTTCTCACGAGACCCTTGCACAAAGCAGCTATTGGGGAAATGGTCCCAATAGGACTTCAGTGTTCCCTGAGGAGGAGATGCAAAATCAGGCTAAGAGGAGCATCGGTCCGGCCTGGAGGGGAGACCAAGGGGCACAGCCCACCGCCCATGGCAGATGTGAGAGGTGCCACTTTGAGGACTGGGGTTTGCGATGGGCTGGGTCCACACCCTGGGGGTGGGCCACCATCAGCCTCTTCACATCCTCCTTATTCTCTGCCTGGTCCCAGCAATCAGCACACAGGCCAGCCCTGCCATTTCACAGGGAGCAGCCGTGGAACCTGAGCAGGTGAAAACACATCAGATGCCGGTGATGCTCACAGAAGGGTTAGTGGGCGATCCACGCTGTGGGCCGTGATAAGGGCCAGTGTGCTTCCTGGAGATATTTCCTTAAAAGGCTCTTCTTATTCTGGGTATAAAACAGCCATTCGTGGTAGATCTAGAGAACTAAAATGCTCTCTTTCTCCTCTGCAAGCAAAACCTGTTTTTATGTTTATACGTGAATCCATTACCATGTTCACATATTTGTTTCTTGTTTTTCAATGCGTGTGGATCTTCCTTGTCTTTTTGAGCAGTATAGCACATTTTATTGGCATTTGTAAGCACTGCGATAAATTAGACATTTTAAAAGTACATATCTCCAAAAATAATTACTTGCGTTTTGGCAAACAGACATATTCCTCGAGGGAACCATCAATTTCTTTTGTTGGAGAAAAGGCAAACATTTTTAGGAAAACAGAGCTCATTGCACACAGTGGCACATGGAGGGGCGTACACGAAAAGCAGGGCGAGTACTTTTCCCATGCAGCTGAACTGCAAGACAAGACAAATATTTTGAACAGCTCATATGTCAAGAAGACATGTGCAGGCTCTACTTATTAAAATAATAGTGGTATCCTGGTGCAGGGAGGGCCCTTTTATCTTCAGAGCAATTTATGGCTGTTCATGAATTGACTTGGGACAAAAGATCAGAAATTGGCAGGAGGTCCTGGGCCTGTGATTTTGGGAAGAATGGATGGGACAGAGATCAAAGAAGCACCCCAGCCCCCATGCTTTGCCAGGGGGTCGCTTTAGAACTGGGAAGGAAGCTGTAATTCTGCCCTGGGGCTCCTTCTGGACAGTGGAAGCTGACCCTCCAGCGGCACAGGGAAAGGGACACAGGGACACAGCATCTCGCTGAACCTGGCTCCCGCACCCTTCCCGGTTGTGGTCGTAGCACCAATGCAGCCCACAAGTTGTTTGCTGCACCAGGGTCCCGAGAACCAGCTCACACTCCTGTGAGCAAAGAAATTTCACTCCACAGGGCGGCTTCCACGTTGTTCCAGACCCCATGGGCCAAGACGGCCTGCGACCTGGGTCTGACACGCTCACAGCGCGCTGTTTACCACGTGCTTGTTCTGGGCTGGGCACCGCTGAGGTGAGCGCGGGTTTCCTGCGTTTTGCAGGCATGGCTGAGTCGTTCTCCTGGAGTCAGTAGCATTGGGTGCGGCTGGCACTCGTGTTCAGGCCGTCAGCTTGGGGCCGCCCCTCGCTGTGCTGGTCCCGTGCATCAGAGAAAGGACGATGGGGTTTGCAAGCTTCGTCAGTCCTCATACAATAAGCTCTGGGTCACAGGCTTGCACCCTACTGCTGCGCCACCCAGCGGGTGTCTGAAGATGTTGGCCAAAGGGTAAACAAGCTCTAAGGACTTTCTGGAGCACTGTAGATGTGAGATCGTGGGGCTGAAGAGCAGAATCCTGACTGCAACATGACAGGCCAGGATGAGACAAGAAGAAAGCTTTCCCCAGACTGTGACAAAATGTCTTTCCTGGCTCTGCCACTTGTGAACCGGATGTTGGCTCCCCAGTCCAGCAGACCATGTGCTCCACTGCCCTGCACACAGCTGTCTTCCTTCCACAGCTCTGTTTGGCCTCAAAGTCTTGATCACCCTCTCCTTCTTGTGCCCCTTTCTTTCTATTAACTAACCTGAGCCTCATGCTGATGCCTCAGGTGAGGGCCTGGTTCCACCGGACTCATCCCCCCGTGATCCATCCGGTGATCCCGAAGTACTTACTGAGTACCCAGTGTAAGGTGCTTTGCTAGGTGCTTAGGACATAGCCTGACAATGACATGCCTGCTCATGGGCCTCACGGAGCTCATGGGCTGAACAGGAGCCAGGCGTTGTAAAGGAGAAATGAGGAGCACTTCACTCACTGAAATGAAAATTCAGGGAGCAGATGGAAAAATAACAGAGTCTGGGGGCAGAAAAGGCTGTCTTGGCGCAGCAGCCACTGAAATGAAGTCAGGGGAATTCACCAAGAGCAAGGAGGGACTGGGAATGCCAGGGCGAGGATCTGCTGTGGGGAGGGCTGAGGTGGATTAGGGACTTGGAAGAGGCCACCATGACTTGAGTCCAGGGAGTGGGGGGCAGCAGTAGGGAGAGGTGGGCAGGGCCAAGCCCTCCAGGGTTCTCAGAGGGAACATTTGAATTTTGGGAAGTCATTGCAGGGTTTTAGGTAGAGAGTGATATGACTTAACACACGTGTTTAAGGTGTAGAAATGTGGGCAGAGCAAGAGGGGAGGAAAGATGCCCCTTATGACTCCTCTATCACAGCCACTCAAGTCAGAGATGACGGGTTAGGGGTGGGTGGGAGGTGGAGTGGGCTGGACAGACGACAGCATCTGCAGGCCCAAGAGATAGTCTGTGTACACACAGCGGTACCACAATGGGTACTAAGTGGGAATGTAGAGATAAACCAGCACAACACCATTCAACAAAGGGAAACAGCATTCTACCTCAGACTTGGCAATCACAGCTTGTCTTGTGAACCAAAACTGGCTGGTGCCTGCTTTTATAAATAAAGTTTTATTGGAATAGCCATGCTCATGTTTCCATATAATCTATGGCTGCTTTTGATGGTGAGCTGAGTGGTTATAACAGAGACTACAGAGCCTTCAGTGCCTGAAGACTTATGTTGGGCTCTTACACAAAGGTCTTCCAGTCACTGTTCTAGATCAGTGCATTTCCTGTTGATGATAGCTGAATTTCTTCACCCTTTCTCACTGGCTTTCCCAGTCCTGAGACCAGCGCTCCTTCCCCACTGTTACTACGAGGCAAGGGCCATTTCCCCTCTTCCTCGCTGAAAGGAGGCTGGGGCTACATGCATACAATGTATGAGTATAATTCTGTGCTTCTGTGCACCCTTTTCTTACAGAATAAATCAGAGCATAGCAGAAACGTCCCGGGTCAGTGTTCCACGCTAGGTGGGCGCTCTGGGTCAGTGTGCTCAGGCAGTGTTGAGCAGACCCTACACAGGACAGAGTTGCCAGGAAGTCATTGGATAAGAAGGGCATGGGCCTAAGGCTCTGCTCCAAAGCGATCAGCCTGCAGAGAAGCAGCCCCACATCTGTGATTGCTTGGGAGTCTCCACATCCATGGTCCTAGTCACGAGCAGGGTAAATTTCTCAAGCTGGAAAAGATTTCTCAAAAGGAAAGTGGGAGGATTAGCAGCTACTTGCAATATTAAACTGCTTGTGTCCTATGTGAATAGATAGAAACTCCACCCAATCACAGTTATTTGATTTAATCTTCCCAGAGGTGACAACCGTGAACCCCCATGAGCAGTGGACACTTGGAGTCACAGGAGCCCCAGCATCACGTGGCAACAGAAGAAACAGAGAGAGGGGTCACTTTTCTGGAGCATAGGATCCAGAGAGGACTGGCTTCACCCCTCTTTGGATTTAGCATATTGTAGCAAATATCACAACTTCCTTCCTTTTTAAGGCTAAAAATATGGATATGCCACCATATTTTTCTTTCAAACTATGAATAGTATTTTTATCTTCAGTCTAATACCACCCCTACTGTACCTCAAAAGATGGAGAATAAATGTGACTGTCTGTAAAACACGTAGGAAGCACGGTGCCCAGAATGAAGTATGTGTTCAGTAAATAAACATTAGCATTGTCTAGTGCCCTTTGAGTAAGAAAATACATGTTCACACATGGACCTGCAGTCTCCCAGCCTTATTGCTCAGCTGCTAGGTAAGAAATCATGATTCTAGCTCTTAGCAAGTGACTCCATCAAAAATGTCATTGCTCACTTCCAGCTCAAGAAAGGGACAGGAAATGCCATCTAAATGTTACTTCATAGAGAACCAAACATAATCAGGGCAATGTATTTGGTAATGTTACCTTGTAAGTCAATGAGCTC